TGAGTTGTGGAGAAAAACATGACACCGAGACAGAGACGCTCCAGGAACAGAGGAATGTGCACAAAGGAACGAACACTGAAATGGCAAGACAATCGGATTTCGGTGCCCTGGGACCGAGTGCTAATTCGGGGCCTGTCAATTATTCTTCTAACCTCCGTTCCCTGCTCAGCAGCCTGGAAAGAATGATGTTCCGCTTTTCATCCAAGGATCAGCGATTAAAGAAAAAAAGTAAGTAAACAAATCTCTGGGAGTACAAACTATTTACATGCATAATACCATTCAGGAAGGATGACAGCGGTGGCGGCCATGTTCGAGAAAGGAGGCTTACAAAATCATGAATATAAGAGTCAATACATCGGAGCCAAGTATAGATATTTCTGTAATTGACTTGACGCTGTATCTCATTATTTAACTGTTTGGAAACCAGGTTTTGACTACGGATTTTTAAGTCTGTGACTGTAGGCATGTCTACCGAGGACGACTATCTTTACTTTTTTTCATGCCTTGCCCAATATATACTTCTCCATCTGATCTGGGCCTAGCCCAGAGCAGATATTCAATAAATTAGGATACTTTTGAGTGGGTGATGGATAAAAATAGGTATGGAAATAATCTGAGGTCAAATTAGAGTTTATCATCAGCATGGGGCATCCTGAGATGTATAGTCAGGGTCCAGATACACTAAGAACACAGATATTTCCATCAGGACACAAAGAAGAACTTCACCCTCCCCTCCCGGTTGCCTTGACTGAGAACAAGGAAACCATCAGGAGACTAAAGACATAGTGTCAATGAACTATAACCACCTTTAGCATTGACTTTCAGAAAAAATACAATTCAGACTAAGACAATGTTTTACGCCACTGAAAGTACACTAACTATCAGACACTCTGGTCTGGCTTGCATAAAATAAAAGGTCCTTGACTTGAGAGGCTGAACTTCAAGCGGTTTTAATCTAATACAGACGAAGAAAGGGGAAGAAGAAGAAAGACGGGACACTCGCGCCAACACTTTGAAGTGTAGTTGTATTCAAGAGACACTGGAGAGCTAGCAAGAACTCCCCCCTCCGTAAAGCGACAGCTTGGGTGGGCTTTATGCAAGCACATCACTACTTTTCAACGCGTTAGTCACTGAGGGAGGAGTGACGCACAGGCATGTCTAAGGCGGCAGGTGAGCCCACGAGCACTGCAGGCGTACTGGCTTCTGGGGGCCACACGACATCTACAGTCGCCGTCAAGAAGACGCACTTACTCCGCTGAGCATTTTGCTGGCTTTCAAAGCATGGTCTAAAAACAACAAATTTGGGAGATCTGAAACTGGATCGTGCATATTTTGAATGTCTTTCTTGTACTTCACCTACGAAAATAACATGGAAGAAAATACCATCCAGGAGAAGAAAATGTTTCACTTTCGCATTAGTGCATTATTCTTAATACATCATAAAGCGGTACTATTTAGTGATAAACTGACAGACGAATTTACAAGTAGCCACTAGATGGCGCTAATTTACTACTGAATGAGTAAAAAAAGTTTTATTCCTATATACACTGGAAAATCTTTTGATAATCCCTTT